ACTGTCTAGTCCTATATTAAGCATGTTTTCTACACTATTACATTATTCCATGTTTTAATTTGATTCATTGTTGAGGACAGCAATAAGTAAATCTTGGAATGATTTGATAAGTGTCAAAGATACTATGCTTTTAATATCAAATATAATGAAAATAAAAATTAATATAATTAAAAATATAGTGTTAATTAATAAAATATTAAAAGTTAGTAAAATGCCAACAAATAGATAAGATCCTAATCTTTTTTATTATTTCAGGTTGTTTCATACTAGGAATAACAAATTACTAACCTGATGAAGATGAGAAAGCAGTTGGCACGACGAAAATATAAAAGAAAAATCAAAAAATAAAGATTTGAAAAAAATTCTGTCACGCTTGCTATCTTGCTCGCTTCAGCGAGCAAGTGAGCGAGAAGAAGAAAAATTCTGGATAAGCAGCGAGCTGGCCCAGAAATAAAGGCCCAGTTTTAAGCCTTTAAATAGAATGCGAAGAAGGCCGTGAAGGGAAACTATTCGGAGGAGGAGGTAGAGGAGCGCATTCAGAAGGCAGAGGAGCGGAGGAACGGTCAAAGCTTCACCGTGGAGACTGGGTTTTATATTTCTTTTATGAATTATTGTTTCTTTTCATCTATTGTTCTTGTTTTCCTTACTATGTCAGGCTAATTTTCTTTAAGTAGTTAGGGCGAGACGAAACCAATGGGTTCTTGAACATTGTTTGCCTTTCTTATAATTTATATTCATGATTTAAAGTTATGCAATCAATCTATTTCTTATTGATTAGCTTTATTTATGAACTGATCACTCGTAGATAAACATATGAGTTGTGCATGACAATAGGGATGTCGGTGTATCGATTCGGATCGGTTGATTGTTGGAATTTGTATAATCTATGGATAGACTTATGAATTCTATAACTGAATGTTCTTGCGTTAATGCTTACTTTATGAAAAAGTACTAAGGGATTAGTCTTTTGAGTGGAGTAAATGATTAGATTACCAAGAGATTGAGATTTAATAGAATATAGAAAAAACTGTTAAAAACTGGATCTTGAATGTAATTATAAGAATAGGTAAACTAGTTTGGAAACCATTGGGGAAGTTAAGTCCTAGTTACGTCTTTTATAAAAACTTAAATCCAATTTTCTAGCATTTATTAATTTTGAATTTAATTTCTTGAATATTGAAAACTAAAAATAAGTAGTTTAAAATTCTGTTTTAATTTAATTACAATATTCTCAAGAAACTCCTTTCACGATTGATGCAACTTTAGTTAAATAGATAAATTATTGCTTGCTCATCAGTCCTCGTGGGATCGACAACTTAATCTTATCGCTTTATTACTTGTACGACCGGTGCACTTGCCAAAGTCGCAAGACAAAACAAACATCAACTAAAAACTTTAGATGTAAGGTGAAGGTTAATTAATAATTTTATATTATATTTTTTAATATATTCCTTCTCGTGAAAGTTTATTGGATTTGAAGGATGAATAATGTATAAATCCTATTTATCCGTTTTAAGAAACTTCATAATATTTAATTATTATTTTTAATAAAACGGTCAAATTTATGATTATTTAGTCATGGAGTTCTTGATACCATATAAAAAATCAGTTTATTTAAAAATTTAAACTGTTAAATAAAAATTCATCAATAATAATTTTATATTATATATCTTTGACATATATCTCTTATACGAGGTTTGAGTGAAGGTCTCACTGCAAATACAAACATGCTCTACCCATTGGTAAAGTTAATGTCTTTTACACGAGTTTAATTATAATTTTTTTTGGAAATATTCCGTTAACTTTTTCCGGGCCCACCTTGGAAAAAAAAATCAAAAAATCAAAAGTAAGAAAAGATAAAAAGTGAAATAAACGTGGCGAAGGGACAGTGGATTGAGTGGACGCCATTTTTACCCTGATTAGTTTTTCCCCGCTCTTCTTCATTTCTTCCCTTCTCAGTGTTGCATTTTTGCTTCACATGTATATGTTTATTTTATTTTATTTTTTTGGAAGCCACAAGTATATGTTTATATAGATGATTAACAGAAATATTAATCTCATGTCACATGAGACAACAATTCTTTTCCACGCACTCAAAAAGAGATGAGTCCCATTTTATTTTTTTCCCTATTTTTCCGTGCAATGGGCTCACAATTTTATGTGAGTGCAACATGAGATAATTATTTCCTGTTGCATAAGAAAATATAATCCCTATGATTAGAAGGATATATTTTTCTTATGTTGTAGGAAAAAAACTACATCATGTTGTATAAATAAAAGAATAAGTGGGACCCACAGTTAAGAGGAGAGAGAGAAAAGAGTGGTGGGACCCAATCCTTTTTTTGTGTGTGTAGGAAAATTGTTTATCTCATGTAAAATGAGATAAACATAACCCATGATTAAATGGGTGGAATATGAAATTAATATTTCTTATGTTATTGAAAATAATTTTATCTCTTACATACATAAAAATATTGAGTTAATATTTTCTTTTTCTTTTTATATGGTTCCACATGGACCTAACATTTTTATGTGTGTTTATCTCTTATAACATGAGAAATATAATCCGTTGAAATATACATAACGAGTTAAGAGGTTATTGCGTGGACTTAATTCACATTGAACTTTTGCGGTTTAGATTTCATTTCTACAAGTTTATGCTATATAAACTTTAAGGGAAATGCATTTGTCATGTTACATGACAAATGAATAGTTGTTATGTTAAGAAAAAGACAAAATAAATTTATTGAATAATGTCTCCTCTCACTTTTTTAATATTATATAATTTGTCTTTTTCTTAACATAACAACTATTCATTTGTCATGTAACATGGTAAATATATTTTCCAAACTTTAAATAGGAAATGCATTTTTCATTTTAAAGAACATAATTTTTGTTTTATTTTAAATGAAATGAACCCGATTTAATACATATTTATTTATTTTTGGGATTCTTTACCTTGCTAATATTTCTCTCTCTCTCTCCTCTTAATATTGTAAAGGAGAGAGAAAGAGAGGTGAACAAATATGCACTCGTTTCATTTAAAATAATGTAAAGTTGTGTATTTTATTTTTTTCATATATACAATTCATTCTTCTTCTTTTTTTCCCTTTATTTTCTCTCTGCTCCTTTTGTCCATTATACAAAAAACGACTTATTATATTTGCTCTACGAGGATAGTGAGCGTGGATGCAACTACCATCAAAATTTTGGTAGATGGACCTTTCAAGGATTCATTGGCTTTTGCTAGCAAGTCACTTCACCCCTCAATAGGACATGAATGCTATTTCAAATAACGTTGCCCAATTATTCTGTTTGTGTGGTTGCCAATAGCAAAATGGGTTTTGACAGTACTCTTTGAGTGTCACTGTCCAATTACATAGCAAGAAGATTTTAGAGGGCTTTATCTAAAGATTTAAGCTCGCACCTAGTCCACTACTTCTCAATTATATATTGATAGGAGAACCTCACAATCATTTAGATCATTATATTTATTTATCTTAATTAAACTTAATTTATCCAATAAAATATGAGGCACAATTTTAAGAGGTTTAATTACCTGATACCTTGTGATAGAGATAAGAATGTTAATTTTTTTTATATATCAATCCGTTCATCGAAGTTTATTATTGGAGGCAACTCTCCCGAATATTTCTTTTCATTTTCAAGATTTGAATTCAAAACCTATGATTAAATGGATATAAGAATATTAATTACGTACATTGTTAAACGTTTTGATTTTAATTTTAATTTTCTAATTTTTTTATATTAGATTGTGATAAATATATTTTTTTATATACATTCCTTTAATTTTAATTTGAATAAATTATTTTTAATTGGATGATGATTATGTCAATAATGCTTACTTGTTCGAATAGTGAGAAATTTAATTTTTCATTTAAGAGAAGGAAAACGTGAAATATTGAAATGGTAATATCGTACTTTTTTCCTTCTGCACTTTTTTTCTTTGGCATTTAACTATGGAGTTTGATTTTCTTATATTGTATGAGAATTCAATTCTTATATTGCAATATCAACGTCAATATTAAAACATAAAATTAAAAGTGAAATGAAAGAGAGAATCGATTAAAAAAATATCAATGATTTTTTTTTTCAAAAACGATGATGACATGTTTTCATACCTTTTTAAGTGGGGGATTGTTAGGGTTTAAAATGATATATAATTGACTCATTAGAAAGTCTAAATACATGAAAACAAAAACTAACAGTATTCAGGCAAATTAAGATGGAGCCTTTTTTCATATGAGTTTGAGCTTGGTGGGTATAATAACTCTAATTATATGACTTTTTAATTAGAGGGTTATGATGAGGACTTTATGGTCATAAATTCTAAGAATTTTGATATCCATATTGAGGGTATTTTGCACATGTGCATTTTTCATCTGTTAATTTTGACTGCTGACGCAGTAACAATAACTATAATAACTCCAAGTTAGCAAATTATAGTTAGAGAGCTAATATAATGATATAACCATCATGAATGAGGTTAGCATATGATTTGATGAAGTTTGATACCCATATTGGGGTATTTTGAAAAAGTCACTTCTGTCGGGTATTTTGTACTGCTGCGGAAACAGCCGGTAGAATCCCGGAACGGGAAAAAGGTGAGAAAATGGAAATAAATACTAATATATGCCTAACGAGTCATAATTAGACCAATAATGTTAAAGTTAAGAAGATTATGAAATCCGGGTACAATTGAGAACACCGGTAAAGACTATAGTGCAATTAAACAACTGTTAGTGGATCTGTGATCTACTAATCAAATTTTTAAGTTATGAACATGATAATTAGACAAAAATTAATGTTAAGTACTTAAAGTTAGAGACTTAGAGTCTTGGGGGTTTCCGGGTAAAAATTTGACGACGGTTCAGATAAAAATTACATCGGATCTCACTAAAGGACAAATGCCACTAAAGTTACATGCCACCCCTAATTAGGGCACCCTTCCCCTTCCCCCTCATTCTGAATCAGCCCCCTTTCTCACTTCTCTCTCTAAAATTCAAACTTTAAACTTTGCTCTCACTTCTCTCTAAGATTTCATCTCCAAAACCTCACCAAATCACCAAATCTCCTTCACCAAACTTGTTCCCTTCACTCTCCTCTTCACAACCATACCATTTTCATGGTGTGGATCAAATTTTCGAGTTTCTCACACCACCATACAGCCATGGTTTTTGGGAGTTCAAGGACCATGGAGTTGTGTTCTTGAGTTCTCTTGAAGAACAACACATCCTTGCTTAGTTCTTTTGAGTTCTAGTGTAAGTGTTCTTAGACTTTCTTGAAAAATATCATATTTTTCTCTTGTGTTCATGAGCTCTAACTCTTGAGCATGTTCTTGAAGGTGTGTTCTTATTTAAAGGAGCATTCTTGGTGGTAAAAGGTGGAGCTTGGAGCTAAAGATGTGAACTTAAAGATGTAAGCTTCACCTTGGGAAAAGATGACCCAAAAAGGCTTCTTTTCCTCCTCTTTATGCCACGGTTTTGTGTATGGTAGGGTGTATGTTGCTGAAAATTTTCAAAAAGAAAAGGTTTTGATGATTGTTCTTGAGGGTGTGTGAGTTTTGAACCAATAAATGGTTGATTTGATGTGTAAAGGTGCAACCTTTGGATCCTTGTGTGGATTCCATGAAAAAGGATGAACTTGAACCCTAAAGGAGACACCTATGATTCAGCCATGTCATGGGATCTAGGGTTTGATGAATAAAATTTTTTATGAAGTGATTAAGTGTGGAAAAATTCTAAGAGAGCTAAGAAAGATTAATTAAGTGGGTGATCTTTAACTGAAACCTACTAATCTTGAGTAAGGATGGCTAAAAACCCTAATAAATATAATTAATCAAATCTTCCCCCTTTGATATAATGTGGATTAGTTGTGTTAAAAATAAGGAAATCATGGATTAGTGTATTAATTAAGTGTAGGTACTAATTAACTAATGAAATGACTAAGAAATAAGCTTAAAAATACTAATTTAAACACCTAAGCAATTCAGCCATATGTGATTAATTTAGGGTCACTATGTTAAAATTAATATTAAGATCTAATTAGGACATTAATCTAGTGGTTAAGTGAGGTGGACTATGCATAATACACTAATTAAAGATTAAACCCTAAAAATGAACCTAATTAGGGTTTAGGAGCACTAATCATGCAATTAATGAACGTGAAGTATCATGGCATAATGTGACGAAGTGAGATTTCATAATATGACCTAACAATAGAAGGTGGATTATGCATAATACACTAATTAAAGATTAAACCCTAAAAATGAACCTAATTAGGGTTTAGGAGCATTAATCATGCAATTATTGAACGTGAGGTATCATGGCATAATGTGACTAAGTGGGATTTCATAATGTGACCTAACAATAGAAAAAAAATCCAAGAATTAAAGTGACTTAGAGTTGCTAACCATAGGTAATTAAGATTTGATAATTAAACCCACTTAGGGTTAAATGACCAGTTTTTAGGCTAACTTGGAGGGGCATATCTCCTTCCACAAAGGTCATATAGAGATGTTCTTTATATAATTTTGGAGCTTGAGATGTTAGCTATGTGGTATCAAAATTTGGTACCATTTGAAGATGGATAGCACTCTGTAGGTTTGATTGAGTGGAGACTACCCTGGAGGCCATGTGCAGGGGCTGTACATGGCTGCAACTTCCACGAATTATTTTTCCCTAATTTCTTACTCAAATTAGGCTCATATTATGTCAAATTAAATCTGAAGTTTTCTAGTTATATGTATAAAAATTTTAGAGTAATTTGTTTAGTATATTTTCCAGAATCGTAGAAATGGTAAGGGATGTTTAGGGCTCTGTTCGGAGTTGGCAGGCAGCTTTGCTTGTCCAACTTCAAATGGTGATAACTGGAGCTAAAAAATTCCAAATGAGACATGTGATACCTTGTTGGAAAGGTAATTGTGTCTAGATTAACATACTAAAAGATGAGAATTTTATAACAAGTTTTTTGCGCATAGTAACTAGAAAATAGAAGCATGTACAGTTATAGGAAAACTGTAAAAGTGATATTTAGGCTAAGTGAGCTTATGGGAACCCCTTAGTAACTTATAATAAGTATATATATGGCTTGGATGAGTGAAAATAATCTAAGTTACCTTAGTGATCCTAGAGTGTGATTCTAAGATTATGCAAGATACTTAAACTGCGTGGTTGATTGTGTAATAAGTGAACACTTTATAATACACCAAAACACGTAATTATGTAATAATTGGACTAGACTTGTAATGGGCATATTATTGGCATGTAAGAATGAAATTTGGAATCATTAAGTGATCGAGTATTAATGATGTAACTGATTCCTACTCTAGGTTTTCCTAGAGGGTTTGGCACTTGAGGATTTATTGGAGCATATGTATTTTACTGTTGGAGTTGGGCTTGTGATAAGCTCAGTGAGGTAAGCTCCTGGTTTTGGTTGCTTTTCTCTCTTGTGGCCCCACCAAGATGGTGGGCATTATGGTTATATTGTATGGAAGTATGTGGTATAATGTATATGTGCATTCATTCACATTCATATAGATGTTATATGATTCTTGATGTTATGATGATGCACTGATGATATATGTTATGAGAATCCTGGCCAGTGATTATGGTATGTAGGTTGCCTATGACTTGACTCTGGGGTCTATTTCATACAGAGGTTGTGTTGATTGTCTAAGGTTTTGACCCTGGAGTCACACATGTGTAACCGTTTATGGTTTGACCCTGAGGTTACACAAGGATGATATGATGATGCTATGTTTAAGCTGTATGCCTGTATTATATGCTTTATATCTGACTTGTCATGCAGGAAGTGGGCTCAGGGGATTAGAGGATCCTCTATGAACCTTGAGCTTATTGAGATGTGTTATCTCACCCCGTTTGGAGACATCATTTCAGGTATCCAGAGTAGTGGTGATGCTTATAGGGGCAAGGCCCCCGCCTTGGAGTAATGGACGATGAAGCTGATTTATTTATTATGATTAGACTTTATGATGGCATGTATAATTATTAACATGCTTAATTATCTTATATTGAGATTATATGATGTATTTATTTAGGCTCAAGACTGTATGATCGGAGCCATGGATTATTTACTGATGCTTAGGCATTTGGAAATTAATATAGACTTGATGTATGTATTTAGTTATTTAGGCATAGAGCCATATTGTTGTATTGACCCATTGAGGGGATTGTAGTCCGTGTGGGACTTGCAAGCTGTCTGTTTAATTATTGTATCTATCAGGTTATTGTATGTGTGGGACCCATGTTCCCAGTTATCCGAAATACAGTCGTTATGCTGTCCGTGAGACCGTCACGAATGACTCTTGAGGTCCTATCCGGATGGTCAACGGCCACTAGTGATGGCCAATGGTTTTAATTAGTAGATTTAGATGTTAATGTTACGTTAATGCAATATATCAGATGAACGCTTTGAAAATGTTTTAGAAAATATTTTGGAAAAAGTTTACTCGTATTTTTATAAGACGCTTTATTAATTTTAAAATAAAGTTTTCCGCTGTGTACGCTAAATATCATGTATGTTAACAACTGGAGTACTACGAGGTGTTACAGTGGGATCTTTAAAAATTATCTTCCAAGACTATTTGAACTGCTAGAGTTTAGCAATGTTTGAATTGCTTGAATCAGATAAATAAATAATATTTATATTTCATATTTAAATTTAAAAAAAATTATGACATAAAAATAAATATTTGTAGCATCAGAATCAAACAAAGAAAAACAAATATAGTACCCCATGTAAGTCGTAATAAAGAAAGTGAAAATAGTAGAAATAAAAACTTATAATTTTAAATAACAAAAAAAATTGAAAAGGAAGAAGATAAGATAAGAAATGAGTGGCATACGCCACACCAAACCAAGAAAACTCTCTCATTTTCGCTTTCTTTAGCGTAAGATGATTTTATACTTTTCTCTCTTTCACTGTCTCTTCTCTTCAATGGCGGGACATCACTGCCCTCTTCATGGCCGATCTTTCTTCTGATGAGGACTGCACTCTCTCTCTCTCCAACACTACTAGAAAATGCTATTTTTTTTACGGGAAAATTCCGTCGAAATTGGTTAAAATTCGGTCGAAAATGAAGTTTTCGACGAAATTTTCGACGGAAATGAAGTTGTCGAGTATCTCTTCGTTAGTAACGATTTTTTCGACGGAATTAGCGATTCCGTCAAAAAAATTCGACGAACATTATTTTCGTAGAAAATTTTCGACAAAATATTTTTCGTGGAAAGTTTCGACGAAAAATTAATGAAATTCCGTCGAAAAATCTTGTAATAATTTTCACGGAAAACAAATTTCGTCGAAAATTTTCGACGAAAAATGAATGAAATTCCGTCGAAAAATCTTGTAATAATGTTTGAAGGAAAATAAATTTCGTAGAAAATTTTTGACGGAAAATGAATGAAATTTCGTCGAAAAATCTTGTAACAATTTTCGACGAAAAACAAATTCCGTCGAAAAAATGAATAAAATTCCGTCGAAAACTATTCTATCAATTTTTTACGAAATTGATTTTTCGTCGAATTCTTTTTAATTCTCTACAAAATTAATATCAATTTATGTTTTGCACCTGATAAACTAAAAAAATTAAAGTTGATAACATATCAAAATCAAATGATCTTAATATAATTATGAGTACAAAAGTCCCTGTTATAGACTAATGAAAAGAGTCTTATAAAAGTCTCTGCCATATACTAATCCAAAGAGTCTTATATGTATAAATGTCCAAGACATATACTAATTAAAAGGGACATAAATATACAAAAGTCTCTGTCATATACTAATCAAGAGAGTCCTATATCTATAAATGTCCAAGACATATACTAATCAAAAGGGACATACATATACAAAAGTCCCTATCATATACTAATCAAAAGAGTCTTATATTTATAAGTGTCCAAGACATATACTAATCAAAAGGGACATATATATACAAAAGTCCATGTCATATAGTAATCAAAACAGTTCATGTACAATAGTCCATGTCATATACATCCAAACAAGATACAAAAGTCATGCTGGTGGATGACGTGCATGATCATGGTAATCACCTAGGTCCTGAGACGGGGGCTGAGTCTCATCGTCATCCTCAGTATCTAAAATTGCCTCAAGAAGCCTTCGCATAAGCTTATCCATTTTATCCATTCGCATGTGCATCATATCCATAAGACTATCCTGTTGCTCAACCCTTTTCTGTTGTTGTGCAGACTTCTCCTCTTGCTGTGCAGACCTCTCCTCTTGCTATGCAGCCCTCTCCTCTTGCTGTGCAACCGTACCCTGCAACTGCATAATCAATGTGCGCATCCTATCATGCTCAAGTTGGGACACTCCAAGTGGTAGTCTGCTGGAGAACCGAGATTGCTTATATGCTATTTCCCGTGTACCTAAACCGTAGACCTGGCCTTTATGGCTAACTCCACCAGCCACCTACAAGATTAATTCATTATCCGAAACTGCACTGCTAGCATTCTCTCCTGGGGTGACCTGACTGTCTCTTTCTTCTCTCATCCTCGTAAAGTCATCCTAATAAAAACATAGAACAAAATTGTGGTGTTAAAGTCAAGTGCATTAAAACTAATCTGCTTTCGAAGTTAATATAATGTTGTAAAAATCAATAATACTCATAACTATTGCCTTTGCCCTTTCATTGCACCACTTGTCACGGTCATCTTTAGATGTGTGTGTATGCTTGAACATAGCCCCCCACGGCGGACAGGTCCATGACCTCGTTTACTTGCTGCGTTATATGAAACGTAAAACAATAGGAACAAAATACGCTAAGTATAAAAAAAAGGCTTACCATTTTAATTACTATATACATATGCAATTATAAGTATTCTTACCAACTTCCTTGCATGCTCAGTAAATGGAATTGAACCTCCAGAATGTGAAGCTCCATTAAATTTGAGCATGTTCCTCTTATTTGCTTCATATCTTTTCTTCCATTTTTCATCATTCCAATAGAGCTTCAAAGCATCAAGGGTTCCTTGAGCCATCCAAGATGTATCGTGTTGCGACTCGGCAAGTGTACCGATCGTGAAAGTAATAAAGTGTATCGCAGTACGAGATCGTTCCCATGAGGATCAGAATTTTCAAGCACTAGTTCGCTAATCGCGTCTTAGTTGGACAATCAAGAATTTAGATGAAGAGAGTTGTGATTCAAAGAACTTGAAATTAAAAAAAATTAAAATCATGCAAATATGAAAATTCAGAATTAAAAGAATGAAGAAGATGATGATGTTTGATTATGAATTTAAAACAAGCGTAGTTAAGGTTTCGACTTCCCCCAATTTCCTTAATATGTTATGAATTAAATAGTCATAATCTGTTTCTTAATATATTGCCAATCAATTCTATCTAAGTTAATTACGACTCAATTCCTTGTTACCATAAATCTATGTAATCTTGAAAGAGCTCTAGTTCCCCGATTATTCCCCAAGAAAACATGCATTAAGATCAAGAATTATAAGATTGCATAATTACCCTATGCCTATTCCTAGATCACAAGAATTATGATAAATTATCAAGTCAGGGTTCATGCACCAACATCCCTATTGTCATACAATTCCCCAAAATTATTCTATAAGGAACAAACTCATAGAAAGAATTAAAAACAAATAATTTATTCAATTATAAAAAGAACAGGATTCAGAGACAATTTAATTCATAAACATAAAGATTCGATTGGGTTCCATCTACCCTTAACTACATAAAAGACTACTATAACATACTGAATTGAAAAGAAATAATAAAGAAAAGAGAACCCCAAGCCTCCATTGGTGTGATGTTGACTTGGTTCCTCAGTGTTCCAGCGCTCCACAACAGTATCCCTCCTTGGACTATGAATGGGGATGAATGAATTTCTGAATCGGTATCTTGGTTCTGACCCCAAGCTCTTTATTTATAGCCATTGGACGTTGTATCCTTCATTGCATCTTTTGTCGTATCCATATTAGATTTGTAATTGATTCTCCAATTGTTTCCTTTTTGCAATTAATATCTTGTGGATTGGTTGAGAGATTTGAGCTTTGAATCTTGTTATAATCTTCCTTCAATCATCCCCTGAATCAAGGTTGATATGTTTCTGCTTTAGTTCCTGTATCACAATCTGGCAATTCTTCATTAAATCAGCAAATCTTAGTGAATCTTTGCTGTCTGGAACGTGGTTGGGCGCTCAAGCGCGTTGTTGGCCGCTTGAGCGTGCTGAATTACTTTAAATTGTTGTTGCTGTCTACCTGAGCGCGCTCGAGCGTGCTAATGGGCACTCAAGCGTGCTCCTCGAGTCTGAATTTTTGTATTCTTGGGCGCTTGAGCGTGTTGTTGCGCGCTTGAGCACCCTGAATTGCCCAGTTTGGCTGTTTTCCCTGCTATGAAGCGCTCGAGCGTCCTCTTGTGCGTTTGAGCGTGCTTTCCTGGACCTTGAATTGTAATATTTTGGTTTCCTTTGATCCATATTGAGCCGCTACTTCTTTGTTATGATTTCTTTAGCACTTTTAGCACCAATTCTTGTGGTTTTACCTTCAAAATGGAAATATTATCAAAACGTCAGCTCAATTTCCTATCTTATGACTTAAATGTATTAAAACCTTGAATTCCATGCATTCTACTACATAATTCTTGTATAGTTTAGCCTAAAAACATGGTAAACCAAAGGTTTATCATATCGCCACCTCAATTCTTATCAAATTCATGTGATTTTTAATTATACGGGTGGCTTTGTTCTTGTATGCTTTCTGAAAAAAATGCTCGTCATCTGCCAAGTATTTATATTTTCTCTACAATAGTAAACATCATAAGAAGACTAATTAGTAAAAATATCAACATTAATCAAAAATAATATTATAAATACGTAAACATTAATATAGTCAAGTTTGAAGGGCAATATTACCATCAATAAGTTGAACCAATTATTCATGGCGTCTGTCAGCACAGTCCTATATGTAGGCCATGGACTGTCATAGTTGCGCTTGATAATTTTTGACATTTTGCGCACTAAATTGTATGGTTCAAAGCTGAAATACATTGTCATGTGATTATATTGACCAATTCATTTAAATTATTATCAACACTTAAATGAAGATGTATTGCAAAAGAAAAAATTTGAACATTAAATTTTACTAATGATCAAATTTGAACATTAAATTCTAAATGAAT